ACACATTCAACTTTTGCGAAAATAAAAAGGTAAAAATTGTACAAGAAGAAGAAAATCGTAAAACAGTGCAGTTAATGACTCCATTTGTCGCTACGAAAACGAAAGCGTGCACTCTACGACCGAAATGAATGGTTGCGTTCGTATTTTATGTCTTCGTTTTCAATGTTCCAGTTTCAACAGAACGACTTTTTCCAATTATTACAACCGGTTTTTATTCTATTGTAGCTTTTATGCGCTGCGCTTGAATTCGTTGAACAATCTCATCCCACCACCATGTCATTCTTGAGAGAAATTTTTCAATTAAAAACGTCCAACATCATGTATATACTTTATTCGCATAAAAAAATTGTACATTTTGTAAAAAAAAACATATTTCAACATTTAATTTTAGCGAATGAAGACTTAAGGGGAGATGTGTTTATTTTAAATGAGAAAAAAATCACTTTTTTTTCAAACGATGGGTATTTTTTTCATTCCGCTGAACAAAAAGGTAGTTATTTATCAATTCGAGTATAAAGAACCTAATGTTTTTTCCATTTTTGGTTCATTGGAAACGTGCAATGACAATAATTTTCACACTTTTTTCCTCGAAAATCCCCTCAAAGGGCCCCTATTCACAATGCCTATGCAAACCACATTCCCACATTCACACAACTGAATTCTTCAAACACAAATGTTTGTTGTTGGTTTGCAGTTGCATTGCAAAACTGCAATTCACCACACATAATACGACGAATACATTAAACAAATTAAAACCGACGCAAGGAATGTTTTCAAAAACAACAAATAAAAAATAAAATGTCTTACATCCGTAAGATGAACTTTTCCGCACTGTGATCCACGACATGAAAGAAAACTAAATCTGACATTTAGTTTTAGATAAAAATAATTTTCGAAGCACTTTTCATACAAAAACTACTAAAGATGGGAATTTTTGTATCGAAGCCATGCCTATATGATATCGTAATCATGTGAAAATTTGCAGAGGTTATTTTTTTCACAAAAAGTTAACATTCTGAAAGTTTGAAGAAATTTCAATGCATATTAAGGGTACTTCCTATACAAAATTTCGTTTTAGAGCGAAAAATCCAAAATATTGTTCGGGAGGTGCCCCTAATATTCGTTGAAATGTCTTCAAACTCTCGGAATAGTATTTATGTGTGATAAAAATAACCTGTGCAAAGTTTCAGCTCATTACGATATCATACACCCATGGCTTCCATACAAAAATCCAAATTTTTTGAATTTTTTGTATGAAAAGTGTTTCGAAAGTTGATTGTATCGCAAAACTAACGTCATATTCGGTTTTCTCGTACCCAAAAACCCCCCAATACACATTTTTGAGTGTTTAAGAATACATTAAAAATCACTTTTGGAAGAAAATTTGAATTTTTCCCATGGATGGACATGGGCATCACACCAGACATGACACTTCACCCTGTCAACCAAAGTCGCTCAAAATCTAATGGTTTCTATTCCTCGGCACCCCCAATCAACCTGCGAAGTCAGATTTTGAATTACTTTTCTTGTTTGAAAGTTATCGTGTTAACAAATTTTTGCGTACAGGGTACAGCGTACAGGGTACAGGGTACAGGGTACGCACATACATTCGGACATCGAAAAAACGCTAGATTCGTGTTCCCTGGCCCCAAAAACACCCAGAAAACACATTTTTTATGGGTGTTAATTTTTCGACCGATTCCAATACTTTACCTTACACACTAGGTGTGTGCGGAAAAGTAAAAAGAAGGCATGAATATAACGATAGCAGTCGCCTGAACAATATTCACAACGTTCGCTGTTTTTTGCAACCATTCGCTTCGGCTGGGAGCACACACCAATACGCATGTGATAGCAGGCATGCAAATGAATCTACTTTTTGTCTCGGTCCTTTTTTTGCATGCATCGCTTTTTTTGTTCAGCAGCATTTTATTGAAGCTTCTCGGTTTTAGGTGCAAGTTTGGCGTATTATCACCTCTATCAGTAATGCGGTTTCCATTAGTTTTATACAAATTAAACTTTATAGCATCCTTTTAATGTGTTTATGCAGATTCTTTTTCTTTTTAATTTTCCCCATCTTGCTTCTTGCTCTATCTCTGCGTTCTCTTCGTTTCACGCGGATTCTTTGTTCATCACATTATATTGTTTGAATTGCAATCTTAATTGGTGTGTAATTAATGAGTTCTTGATGCAGAACTTTTAACCATGCGTTGCTTTATTCATTTCTTCTTTCAACACTAACGATTATGGTCGTGATGGTGTTTTCAAAAAGGTAAAATAATGATGATGTGTCGATAGAGCACAGTTTTGGTAACTGCATTTTAAAAAAATATGATATTTTCAACTATAATTAAGTTATTTTTTTTCAATGTTGTGCCGTTGGATCTTTTCCAAAAGTTAGCAACACTACGTCCGTATTAAATTGCTTCAAGACCACCCGTGTGTAAAAAAAGTGGCTGACTGACTGACTGACTATGTCGATTTTGTATGAAAACCAATCATAGTTAACCGGCTGTCCCAAATTAGGCATTTAAAAACGACTATATATGACTATAGTTGACTATAGTTAGCTGCTTAACCAGTTAACAACAATCGACAACAATCGGCTAGAATCGAATAGAATCGATTGTAGTTAACTGGTTGAGCAGCTGACTATAGTCAACTATAGTCATATATAGTCGTTTTTAAATGCTTAATTTGGGACAGCCGGTTAACTATGATTGGTTTTCATACAAAATCGACATAGTCAGTCAGTCAGTCAGCCACTTTTTTTACACACGGGCATGTGATTATGATGATGTGTCCAATAAAATCTGCAGTGAACCTTTCTTAAAAAATGTGTGACTACACGAATTTTATCATCACAATTAGCTCTTTTCATGCATACATTTTGAGATATTCAAGTCATAATGACTGAATTTTCTTTGGGTTTCATCGGGTCGGCCCACTTCCATTTAAAAAAATATTCTTTCTGTCAACGGGAGATAATAAAGAGTTCGTACGTTTTCTCATCTTTTTGTTCCTCATCGTTGCATGTGATGATTTACGATCCAAGCAATGGCGATTTTAAGAACATAAATCCAGATAAATGAGCACTATGTATTATGCAATTACCTGACAAGAACCATTTGCACAAACGGTTTGGACTTTGATTTCAACATTTATTTTGAATATGATTGGAAACATTTTGCGGGGTGTATTTCCCAGAAGAGATGTAGAAAGAAGAAAACGATTACATGAAGTCGGAATTGCCGACATTGTTCGTTATTTTAGTTGGCATAGTTTAGAGTTATTGATATGAAATCGAAAGAGAATTGTGACACCACTATCTCGTATAAATATAAACAGATATTGCTCTATCAATTTTCAACAGCACCTGCAACATAGCACAGTTTGAATTGAAGTGCTTTGAAACATACAATCGATGCTCGTGTACACAATCGTCGCTATGTATGAGACAAACAATCTAACGAATCCATTCGGAATGAGGAAATTGAATCTATGTATGTGTTTGTCGTTATTAGTTTTTTTCCGGACCTTTGTTCATTTTTTTTTTTCATTTTGCACGTGCTGATTTTTTCTCTATTTTCGATCACTTCTCTCTATTCGATGAAAAAGAACACAGAACACGTAGAGCATCAGTATGTTTCAGGGGTGAATGTGATTTGGACGATGAATATTTTGAAATGGCTGAAGAATAACACAATGATGACAATTGACGTATTTGAATGACTATACAATTCGTATGTGTATTGACTTTAAAAGATTGAACATTTTGAATACGACGTAACGAACTGAAACTAAATGTGTGCATAAATTAAGGGTAATATTCAATTTAGCGCTTTAAGTAATATGGTAATTTCTATCACATTGAATTAATGTTTTGATTTAATTATGCAAATCTGAATCTGGAGTAATTGCTAGAGTAATTATGCTCGACATTTTCTTGAAATTTACATTCCAAATTAGGTTCAGCTCAATTGCAATAAAATAGAAACACAAGCCGCCATTGAATGTCGATGAACAGAAGTATGATTTTATATCAGCCTACCTCAATGTGGTTCAAAAATAGTTTTGTTTTCCGATTTTCCTCTCGACCGACATGGCACATTTGGCTTTTTTTTAAACCAATGCCTGTCTGATGCATCAATAACATTTTTTATGCTTGATCGCCAAATTTCGACACATATTTCGAAGAGGTCATGCTGACACTTTATATTCAATATCTGAAATGGTTTTCTATTTTTCTTTTTATTTCATTTTTTGATGCGAATGAAAACATTTCCTAATGTCAGTTTTTTTGCTTGGTTCCTTTTAACAGTATTTTATTTTTTTTAATCTAGACGAGAAACTTGGAATGATAGAGATATTTTGAATTGACAGACGAATAATATGGCTTTATTTTTTGCTATTTGATTTTTTCTCTCCGAAACCTGCTTCATATTTCGATATATTTGCTTATGCTTGAGCGAAATGTCTTTGAAATGTCAGATTTATTAAATTCTTTTTATGATTTGGTTTTTTCGTCGGCGATAACGTTTATAATATGAAAATTCTATGTGTAGAAATAATTGCTCGGTTCTAAATTTATTGAAGAATTTATTTATTTTATGATTGATTCGATGTATTTTTGATGTCGCTAAAATTAAAATTGGCTGATATGATCTTATTAATTTTGACGATTAAACTCCTAGTCCAGCCCGAGTGTTCACCTGGGTGTTTTCCACAGTATGACGATCCAATATGTTTCGGTACATAGAGTATCCAACAATCCATAGATAGACCAAAACAGCTGAAATGAGATTTTGAAGGATTATTTCGCATGAGCATCAGTACTTTAACTAAATTCTTTTATTATTAAGACTAATAAGAATGGATTGTTACATAAAAAATACTTACCGTAGATCAAAAGAACTAGAATTTGTTCACAGAAATAAATATTATTATTCGTCTTGCTTTCATAACAAGCGGTTGAATTTTCACATTCAGGGCCGTACCGAAATTATGCCCAAACTGTCACACTGCTAGCGCCACGACGGATTACAATGTAATCTACACTAAGTTGCCGCCAAATAGTGAAAAGACTTTTGCTCAGTTGCAACCAACGGACTAGAGCTCCATAGTTGTCCGTAGTGGCGCTAGCAGTGCTACAGTTTTGCATTTTATACAGTCTCTTATGGGGCATAATTTCGGTGTGTTCAGGGCTTGCGATGATTACGTATAGATAGACTATGCTACGAATTAATGATATGAACGAGAACACGACGATTGAAATGAGTCCTGTTAAGAGATACCAGTACGACAAGAATCTTGGATTTTCCTGTTAAATTGGAGACATTGAGCAAAAATTAATCACAAATAACTAAGAGAAATTATGAGAGTAAAACCTTGAGTTAGTGGAAATGTTTATGATACCCAGTGTTTCATATATCGCTATCAGTATCCGTAAGATAACTGAGAGGGATATATTCAGCCAGATATGAGTGCCAAAATTGTGTCAAAATTGCATTCGACACGCTTACCATCTCCAGTGTCTAATTTAGACAGTATCATATCTGGTAACATTGATACCATACGACATTACGACAGTGGTATCGAAAGATTTTATTGTATATGAAAAATAACAATTTTATGCCTAAAAATTGCCCAAATTGGTAATAATTCATAAAATTTTAAGATCTGTTTTTATGCAGTGAATTATTAATACTGTTCGGGATTAGTAAAATTCAATGAATACGGCAGTCAACCTATCTTGAAACTTACTTTCGAAATGCCATAAGCCCAAAATCCGGTAAATATTAACGAAATCACTGCAAATGGAATATTTTATACCGAAGTCATAAAATGAGTAAAAATTGTGAGTATTTATTAGTAGAGTGTAATACTATCTATTGTAAAAACTGAATATTCTTTTTATATAAATATGCATAGTTTTTTTTTGCTATCTTTTTTAACACATACACCTTTTTTCTCTCTGTTTCTTACTTTTTTTTATTGCACTGCGATTTCAAGCTACTATTTCATTTTCAGTGTAACAGCATATTTTACAATAATGCATTCAGAATAATAAATCTTTACCAATCAGTAGATAAAAAAAAGTGTTTGTTTTCTTCAAATTTATATGATATTTTGTGGTCAATAAGAAACTCAGTTATTACGATAAATACTCATTAAATGAATGGTTAGCTAAAATTGAACAAATTTATAAAATACATTATTGTGATTCAACTTACTATTCACAATTACTTGGTCTGTCATTATAATACCCAAAACATTTAAAACAGCAGTAATTCCGGCTGATATTAAAGCCCCCTTTTTTTTAAATCCACAAAATCTTCATTGCAGCAAAACTGACTTACAGTTGGAAATTTTATGGAATGAAAGTTTTCACTGACTATATCATCAAATGCTTTTAATTCATTCATTTTAAACAATTTTAAGGCGAACCGCTCTCGGGAAAGTACTGTATTGATTAAGTCTACACGTTTTAAAGAATTAATGGCTTATTGACGTTTATATAAAATCTTGGAAAGTGACTCATATAAAATCAGTCAACTCTTGCCACTCAAATAGAAGAGAGAGAGAGCGTGACGCACATATAGTTACCGTGCTCTCGTTCAGTTAGTCCCTGAGACATAAATGCTTACACACAGACATGCTCAGAAACTCTTACATCATCATTCATTTTCTACATGCGCACGCAGTTAGAATAACCCGTGAGATATGAAGAACCTTGTACACTGAGTGAGACGTCTATATAACTCAAATGTGGATTTCAATGCAAGTGAGAGAGGCAAACACATAAAAGGCTCACTTTTTATACAAACTTCTTTGTATATTTGTTCATCTAATTTTCATACAAAATATCGTTTTTGTGTGTTCGCTTTTGTGCGGTTGTTCTTCGTTTATGTTTTGAAGAAGATCCACAGAAAAAGGAATATACAAACACGATATTTTTAAGCGCGGATGTATCTCACGGGAATGGCAAAGTCGCTGTTTGTTTGTATAGTATGATATGTCGAATGAGAACTATAGTCCATGTATTTGAACCAATACATGCATGCTTAGCATCTCACTATCGTATTTCGTTTGTTTACATTTCCATTGGTTTGTCATTAATGCGTTGCAACAAATAATTAAATGTATAATAAGACTGTGGATTTGAAAATCTGCACAAAAAACGAATCATGATAGAGACATTTGACCGACGAATAATATGGTTCATGTTTATTTGTTTTTGCAATCTCATTTTTCCTCTTCGAAACTGGTTTTACCTGCTTGATATCTCAAAATATTTGCGTACAATTGAGCAGTAAATTATCTTCAGCACCGTTTCATTATATCATTTGTATTTTCGACAGCGACAAAGTCTGGAATATGAAATGAGTTTCATTTTGGCCATTTAAATCAGAGAATTAAACATTTTTAAATTGAGAAAACGTTTTTCGTATAATTTTTTCGCAACATTTTTTTCATTCTATGTTTAATTTATTTGGAAAACCGAATTGTGGAATGAGTGAAAAACCATGCAAAAGCGTGCACCTCATGAAATCGAGATAGATTCGCGTCTGATGCGATTCAGAGTGTGTGTGTGTATGTTGGGCCGATTTTTTCGGATCTTGGCATTGGATTGGTCTGACGACAATCACTGCAAAACGAACGTGACTGGATTGAGTAAAATATTAACGACATTTGGCCATTTGTATCTGTTTTAGAAAACACGCTTCCGTTTTTTTCCAATTGACATATGTACTCCATTGTGCACAGTGGATGTTGTAGTGTATCTGTTGTGTGCGCGATTTTTTCTATTCATCCAAATGAGCATGTCTGTGCATTGCCTAAAGATATCAATATTTTTGCTGCTGAAACAATCCAATCAATTTTTATATATATGAATTTTTGCCATGGCCCAATTGATGGAAAAGCTATAGTTGTACAGCTCAAGGGTATGAAACAACAAAAAAAAATTACACAAACATCTAGCGCCCGATTGGATGTTTTAGTTTCGGATAAATTGAGGTTACGAAATGTAAGTTAACAGAATCAAATTAAATCGCACCATTGACTAAACAGCATGCAGTTCACTGGAGATCGGCATTTTGTTGTGAAACCGTATCGTGGAGCATGATTGAATGCCAAAAAAAATTGGTGCGGTAAAATATTCTTCTGGTGACATGAGATATGTTAAGTAAGCGTAAAACTTCGTTGTGTATTCCATTGAAACGGGAAACCCAATTTAAATTGCAAAATGTACATTTTCCATTTTCATATGAAATTTAATAGTCCATCAAAAACTTGTATTCGATAGATGACAACTGAAATTCATTTTGAAAATAGATACTGTCTTTTCCGGTCTTTTTTCGGTTTAATTTTCCGAACTTTTAATGAATGCAAAAGTTAGCAAAACAATGCTAGTTCTGCCACAAATGCGAGACAATTTTTTTGCTCATTAATATCAATTAAGACAAATATTTGCTTCTATTTATTGTATTATACAAGGATGCTTTTAATCTAACTGTAAAATGCTTTTAATGTTTTAACTTTTGCAATTTGTTGTTGCTAATTGTATTCTCGTTATTATTGTTAATTGATCCTTGATACTTATTTAGAAGTGCTTTTTCGGTGCGGGTAAAATGTTCGAAATGGATAAAAGCTGAAATAAGCAACAAAATACTATCAATTAAACAAAAATCGTGAATTATCATCTACGAGGGTGAAAGAATTGAATCATTGTCCCTCTTACTCGGTATATGTAAGTAGTGCTGGTTGTACAAAAAATCTTTGCTTGTGTATTACATAGAAGTTGGCAGTCTTTCTATCTCTTGGATCTTTAATTAGCGAATAGTGTAAATGGTATTACATTACGGAAATGGTGAACTAATGATTGCATCCATGAAATGAAAGAACACTCTTTGAATAATAAACCTTGAAAATGGGCTCTTGTGACCGTTAGTCGGCCGCAAAATGATTCAAAGGATATAAATAGAGGGAGAGATAAATAGAGAAAGAGACAGAGAGAAAAAGAAAGAACAAACCATTCCGGAATTAATATATTAACGTTTTAATATAATTTTGATATTATTGTTTTGAAAGAATGCGCCCAGAAAGAATTAGCACCGAAAGCAAAGTGTGAATGGTAATCGTGCTAAATAGCACAGTTGAATTCGCTTACAATTACCACTTACAATGACTTTTTGCGGTTTCATTCAATGCGCACTACACTGGTACTATACTGCAATGTAAAGTGGGCGCTTCACGGTAATCTCCTATGTCGAAGAATCATTTAGATAAGCCAGCAAAAACTACAACGCTCCGGCACACTATATATTCGGCCACACACTCTCTCTCTCTCTCTCTCTCTCTCTCTCTCTCTCTGGACTGCCGGAGCATTATATATGACCAACAACACCCGAAATAGAATGAAGCTTCGAGCAAGAAAATAAACACAAAGAAGGGGTTTATCGAGATTATGTTTATTACTTTTATGACTGTTATTGTTGGCATTAGGAATTTTCGGTTTGTGTGAAAACTTTTGTATTTTACCCAATTGCCTTCGATGATGATGATGGAGATGATGATCGTAATATACCTTTGGTAAACGGTCAGTTTTCGTTTTTCCATGCGGAAATAACAACACAAGATATAGACCATTATAGTTTATTGTTTTTACTAGCACCACAACATTGGAAAGATTGAAAGCGATGCTCTGACCCATTACCATATTGCCATATCTAAAGCAACACAGAGATTCTATAAGAAACAAAACGCAACGCCTACGGCTATGATCATTCGAACGCTTGAATTCATAACATTGTAATGCCGGAAATACACAACAAATAACTCTAATTTACTCTTCAGACAAACAATTTATATTTAGGATACTTACTGCGCAACAAACATCAAACACGGAATTGGAACGCTTTTTTGGAGAATGCATTCAAACAGATAATACTTTATCTTATCCTTCAATTCAATATATTTTCCGTACACTACAAGCGTACTGAAAAGGCGAAGAATATTGTAGTAGGCAAGTGGTATACAAGGAGGAGGTAGGGGACGTTTACTCTTTTGAAATGTCGAAATCAATTTTTCCGCCCCCATGAAAAAAAATCCGCCAAAAATCATGAAGTTAAGCCGAAAAAAGTCATAAAATTACGTCGGTCTTGAAAACTTTTTTGAAGTCATTCGATTTAAAATCTGAAATTTGTCAAAAATAGAAATGATCGCGCACACTTCTATAATCGGCATTCTTCGATCAAAAATATTTTCGTACAAGAAACGATAAAAACGAAGCCATTCCATTCTATATATAGCTTCGAATCAATATTTTCCCCATGATATTCTTAGATTGATTGAGAACTACTTGCGACTACTTTTTTTTAAATCAAAAACATTTTTAGTGCCATCATCATAACCATTACAAGTTGTGAAAACGAAATGGTGCATTACCTTGTTTAAATATATATATGATTTCCCATTAAAAGTAACTTTATATGCACCATTCTTCACTTTAAATACCATAAATGATTGCATTCTCGTCGATTTTCACCGTTTCAAATCGAATTCCCCTGAAATGCTAGAAGTGTTACACATTAACCATTGTATCCGTACAGTTTGCATTGTAGTTTTTATGGTGTTTCTTTGATTGGCGATAATTTGTTATACATTTTATGCGCAACACAAGGTATGACCTCAAGCAAAATTTATGGCTGATGTTAAGATCAACGATTGTGATTATATTACCAGTTTACCTTAATTCACACTATTAACGAGTTTAATCCGTGAAAATCATGAAAATCCCAGCGAACATTTTCACTTAAATGTGTCAGACGAATGAAATAAACATACACACAAAGTTGGTGCATGTAAACCTTGAAACAACTGTTTACAAGTTGATTTTTGTTACCCTTACATAGTATCAATGCTCTGTTTTGATTCTTAAACTTGTGAATAACCCGTAGCTTCCAAGTACTGTAATCTATGCATGCATTACGTATTCAAAATTCATCTGTGATTCAACATCGCTTCAATCTTCGGTTGAGATAGCAAAAAAGACACGTACCAGCTGGTTCTCAATAATAAAAAAAAACCAGCATAAAAGGATTTGACGAAACATCGGGAGCGAGAAAATATATTTAAATAACGCAACGTTACATGTATGCAGCAATAAGCTGCTAATCCGACTTTTATGTTTGCCTGTGGTTTTCATTCATAAACAAATCTCTGAAAAGAACGAATTTTTGCGTTTCGAATCTCGAACGCGTCCGTGTATTTGTTGTTGCATCCATTTAGATGGAAACGGTATTGAACTTTGTCAGTCATTTTTTTGCCGGCCATGGTGCATTCACCTTAAAACTCATGTGTACAAATGGAATATGCGAATGAACCTGCAAGAATCGCTTTTATGAACACAAATTGTATAAATAATACCAATGATTTTTTTTTTCTCTAATGTAAAATGCGGTAAAACACCCTTTCGAAATTTGTCTGCTAACGGTAGCAAGGAAAAACCAATAAATTGAG